CATTCTGCTGGAGAGCTTGTGCTTTTGAAAAACAACAGACTTGCTGTGCAGATCACCAGATGAAAATAGAAGAAAGCCTAACGGCCAGTTCACACCACAAAAACACACTCAAGATGCATTCCAGATACGTTTGTGCTTACAGTTCACACCACACTCCATTCTGGTGCAGTTTTAATGCAGTTTGCTATGTTCCAGTACGGTTCTGTGCAAAAAAAAATGTAGCATGTTCTACTTTATTTTTCTGCACCGGAAACTGACTGGAACTGACTGCACTGGTGTGAACGAGGGCCATTGGAATACATGGAAAACAGTGTGCATGCAGAACAAAAATGCACTGGACTGCATCTTGTGTGAACTAGCCCTTAACCTCTTGCCGCCCTGCCACTGTATATATACGTGTGCAGGGCGGCACTGGGGCGCAAAACCACGTTTTAAACCGGGTTTCACACTCCCGACTTTTTCGCCGGAAAGAGGGCGCGCGCGCGCTCTCACCGACCCTCGGATGACACCATTTGATCCCGGAGGGATCAATCATTCAATTTCAGCCAGTGATGTCTGGCTGAAATCAGATGATCGGTCCCTGTCCTGTGTTGACATTTACACAGGACAGGATATGATGTCAATTCTTCTCTGCCTGGGCACATTCCGTCCCACAGAGGGAAGAAGACACAGTAAAAGTGAGTAAAACACTACACATTTACAGTTAGAACACACCTAGGACACATTTAACCCCCTGATCGCCCCCCCCCAGTTAACCCTTTTACTGCCCTGTCACCAGTGTCACTGATCAGTGAATCGATTTTTACGGATCACTGTATCAGTGTCGCTGGCGACTTCCGATAGTGTTAGCGCCCCTCCCAGATAGCGCCAGTTTGCCCACCAGTACATCAGTAATCCCGATTTTTTAACCCCTTAATAGCCCCCCCCCCCCCCCCAGTTAACCCCTTCACTGCCCTGTCACCAGTGTCACTGATCAGTGAACCGATTTTTACTGATCACTGTATCAGTGTCGCTGGCGACTTCCGATAGTGTTAGCGCCCCTCCCAGATAGCGCCAGTTTGCCCGCCAGTACCCCAGTAATCCCATTTAACCCCTTGATCGCCCCCCATCCCCCCCCAGTTAACCCCTTCACTGCCCTGTCACCAGTGTCACTGATCAGTGAACCGATTTTTTACTGATCACTGTATCAGTGTCGCTGGCGACTTCCGATAGTGTTAGGGACCCTCCGAGATAGCGCCAGTTTGCCCGCCAGTACCCCAGTAATCCCATTTAACCCCTTGATCGTCCCCCCCAGTTAATCCCTTCACTGCCCTGTCACCAGTGTCATTGATTACAGTGAACAGATTTTTACTGATCACTGTATTAGTGTCACTGGTGACTTCCGATAGTGTTAGCGCCCCCTCCTATATAGCGCCAGTTTGCCCGCTAATGCAAGGGATTTTTTTTTACCAAAAACATGTAGCAGAATACATTTTGGCTTAAATTTATGACTAACTTTGAGTTTACGATATATTTTTTATACCTGAAAGTAGAAAATATTGTTTTTTTTTCAAAATTTGTGTTTTTTTTTGTTTATAGCGCAAAAAATAAAAAGCGCACAGGTGATAAAATACCACCAAAAGAAAGCTCTATTTGTGTGAAAAAAAGGACGTAAGTTTCGTTTGGGTACAGCATTGCATGACCGCGCAATTATCATTTGAATTAGTGCAGCACCAAACAGCAAAAAAAGGCCTGGTCATTAAGGGGGGTAAATCCTCAGGAGCTCAAGTGGTTAAAAAAGAAAACTAATGCAGCCATCACATCTATGAATTTGTACGCTGCAATATAATAAATGTATGCTTTTGGGTTTAATACTGCTTTAAGCTGATCTTAAGGACTAAGAAAAAAAAAAGAAAAAAAAAAGACAAACAGAGCGCAGTTCCCTTTAAATGGAGTCTTTTTTAAGATCTAAGATATGTACAATGCATTATTGGCTCAAAATCCAGTTGTAATTGTAAAACAAAAACGAGGCCCATAGTCAGGCTGTTTAAAACATTGATGTGAAAGTGGAAAACCCAAATACTCCTGCGCTTAGGGATGGACTCTGTCATAGGGATCACACAACGAATGTCTTGGAACATGCACACCTTGCTGCCCTCAAAGAACCAGGGAGTCCAAAAGTACTAATAGAGAAAAACAAAACAGAGGGCGCACCGGCCTTGTGCATTACCTTTAAAAGTATGTTTATTACATTTAACCTCCCTGACGGTCTGATTATTTCAGATGTTTGGTGCTGAAAGCGGTACCATTATTTTGCATGGAAATATGTATTTTTTTTATTGTAGGCCTTTAATTCTTAGGAATAACTCACTGAAATCTGTCTGAACAAGAGTCTAGTAAACATCCCGGGTAGGATAAAATTTGAAACACGAAATCATAAATTATAATTGAATAAATAATCATAAAAAATAATAATATAATAATAATAAATTTAATTAAATAATATAATCAAACCAAAAACACTGAAATGTGAAATATAGCGCCAAGTTCGCACATCGCTGAGCAAAGTCGCAGAATCGTTTTCAGTGTCTGATGAGGAATTTCCCCCACGAATCATTATCACTCAATTCTGCAAGTGGTTCTGATTTACTATCGCTGTTCTCTAGCTGATCTAAAACCGCTTTTGACCTAAAAGGACACTTTTTGGACGCCATGGACGTTTCTCAGTTTCCAGGCAGAAAGAACAGACAAAATGCAGACAGGGGACAGGACAGAGCACTCGGGACAATATGTATGTGAAATGGGTTGAAACAGCAATGTTTTACTATGTAAAATTTGTTTGGAAAAAAATGACATTTTTTAAAATTTTCAAATTTTTTCCGCCGCCTCCGGCGGTGCCCGTACGTCCCGATGTCACAGGGACCGGAACACAGAAGACGGATGCCGGAGGAGATGGCCCGGGGGGGGACGCAGCAGGGGACACATCGTGGGAGCGAAGGACAAGGTAAGCTCTGCAGGGACTCCCTATGTAGCGCCGCTTGGTAAGCCCGAGTGTAGCTCGGGGTTACCGCTTTTGGCACTGACATTTTACCCCGAGCTACACTCGGGAATACCGCCAGGGTGGTTAAAGAAAGTATTCTACTCACAAAAGTGCATGAATATAAGCACATCATATGAGACCGCTCTATCCAATTCGCATTGCATTTCTGAAAGGTGATGAGAATGATGGACATCCAAAAAATCTGACACGTTTCAAGGACTAGCCTAGACTGAGGCTCTGAGGAAGAGGCTAGTCCTCGAAACACGTCAGCCATTTTGGATGTAAATCAATCATTCTCATCACCATTCAGAAATGCAGTGCGAATTGGACAGAGCGGTCTCATATGATGTATGAAGTATTCATGTACTTTTGTGAGTAGAACACCTTCTTTTAAATTTACTAAACCTATTTTTAAAGGTAATGCACAAGGCCGCTGCGCCCTCTGTTTTGTTTTTCTCTGTTTAAAACATTACCTGTTCAGTACCATTTTTTGTATTTCAGTGCTCCCCGCAGCAGAAAGCTCCGTGCCTTGCCTGACAGCTGAAGATAAAGGCCGCTGGGATCTGTGAGAGAGCAGCCTCTGTACAGTGAGAAAAATGGAAGACCAAGGGAAAGAGATCCCTACAGTCAAGGATTTCAATGAGGACAAACTGCAGCCTACATGAAAGCCTCAGTTTGTCCTCATTGGAATCCTTGACCGAAGGAATCTCTTTCCCTTGGTCTTCCATTTTTCTGTGTATTTATAGGTTCCAAGGACACCGCATAATTATTTATATATATTATGGCGTCATTCTGGACTCAAACCTTTCCTTCCAACCTCATGTCAAATCACTTACAAACACATGCAGGCTCCACCTTCGCAACATCGCCAAGATACGTACCTTCCTCACCCCTGACACCACTAAACTACTCGTACACTCCCTGATTATCTCACGCGACTACTGCAACTCCCTCCTCACCGGCCTACCCCAGTGCAGGCTCTCCCCGCTTCAGACCATCCTGAACTCAGCGGCTAGACTCATCCACCTCACCACCCGCTCCACCTCTGCCACCCCCCTCTGCCTATCCCTCCACTGGCTCCCTATTGCCCAACGCATCAAATTCAAACTACTCACTCTGACCTACAAAGTCGTTCACAACACTGCCCCTGACTACCTCACCAACCTGATTCCCAGGTACCACCCTACCCGTACCCTTCGCTCTTCACAGGACCTCCTTCTATCTTGCTCCCTGGTCTCCTCCTCCCACACAAGACTTCTCCAGGTCTTCCCCCATCTTCTGGAACTCACTACCCCAATCCATCAGACTGTCGCCTTCCCTCCTCACCTTCAGGCGCTCCCTGAAAACCCACCTCTTCAGGGAAGCCTACCCCACCCTCACCTAACAGCCGTTCTCCTTCATTCCTCCTACCACTCCATCCCCCTCAGCCACTTCCTCCTGTACCACTACCCCCTCCCTCCTAGATTGTAAGCTCGAAAGAGTAGGGCCCTATAACCCCTCGTGTGCTGTTTGTAGTTGCTGTACTGTTTCATGTATTGTCCCCCCCCTCTATTGTACAGCGCTGAGCAAACCCTTTGGCGCTATATAAACTCGATGTAATAATAATAATAATAATAATAAGTGAGTTGGCTACGTCTATTTTGTCAATTGTGGGGCTACTCTGTTTGGAACCCCCTAGATTTTTATCTACCCTTTAGCCTAGTGCATCCTGGTTTTTTTACCTTGTTACTATATGTCTCTGTACAGTGGTCTGACATGACCCTGGGAGTCATCACTACAGTGCTGCAATCAGTAGGGAACCTGAGTATAGCAGTGGTAACAGAACACAGGGGGGTATCAGAAGTGCTCCTATAGATGTAATCAATATTCATGGATCACTACTCTGCAATTTGCATCAAGTCATACATTTCCACACTTAGCAACAGGAACTATATTGGACCTGTAGTTCCTCTGTAGCAGTTGTTAGATGATGGTGACGTACCTGCTGAGCCGAGGATGATGGGATTGAAGACTGACTCAGTAACCGCATAGATGCTTCTAAGTGCTGAGGAGGTAGAAAGAAATTTGGGAGCTGAATGGGATCAGATCTGGACAGGAAAATTGTTAAGGAAAGCAAGCACAAAAAGAGACAATGTAGAGTGAAAACACTTCCAAATTTTCCTTACTCTGTAAATTCTATCACTTGGAGCTTCCTGATTACATGATTTGCGAAATGCATTGAAGCCCAGCCATTTGCCGTCATTTCCGGCTCTTCCTTGCGTCACTCCGGTCCTTCCCTGCGTCACTTCCGGCCCTTCCTTGCGTCACTTCCGGCCCTTCCTTGCGTCACTCCCGGTCCTTCCCTGCGTCACTCCCGGTCCTTCCCTGCGTCTCTCCCGGCCCTTCCTTGCGGCACTTCCGGCCCTTTCTTGCGTCACTCACCGGCCCTTCCTGCGTCACTCCCGGCCCTTCCCTGCGTCACTCCCGGCCCCCTTCTCTCCTCCCCCTCTGCGTCTCTCCCGGCCCTTCCCTGCGTCTCTCCCGGCCCTTCCCTGCGTCTCTCCCGGCCCTTCCCTGCGTCACTCCCGGCCCTTCCCTGCGTCTCCCTCCCTTGGTCCCTTCCCTGCGATTCTCCCGGCCCTTCCCTGCGTCTCTCCCGGCCCTTCCCTGCGTCTCTCCCGGCCCTTCCCTGCGTCTCTCCCGGCCCTTCCTTGCGTCACTTCCAGATGACGGATTCGATTCCTGGAACGCACGCCGACTCAGGTTGAGAGAGCGGCAGTGCGGTAGCATCTGCTTCTGCCTTCTGGAGCAGATAAGGCAATGACGGGCGCAAGGCGGTTCTCTCGTTCTGGGAGGACGTCACATGATGTCCTCCCACTCTAACTGCGCGTGCATGCCCCCAGGGGGCAGCGCGGCGATCGGTGGTGGGCTGTGTCCCTGGGACACAGCGGATCACCGATCTACGGAAAGAGCCGATGACGTCGGCTCTGTCATGTGATCAGCTGTGTCCAATCACAGCTGGTCGCATGTAAATAAGGAAAAGCCGGTAATCAGAACTACTCAGAGGGGACAGGCACACTGATCAGTGCCACCTATCAATGTCCACCAATGCCACCTGTCAGTGCCAATCAATGCCACCTGCCAGTGCCCATCAGTGCCACATATCAGTGCCTACCAATGCACATCAATGCCACATAGTGCCCATCTGAGCTGCCTTTCAGTGCCACCTATCAGTGCCAGTTAGTGCCACCTATCAGTGCTGCCTATCAGTGACATATATGAGTACTGCCTTTCAGTGCCCATCAGTGATGCCTGTCAATGCCACCTACCAATGTTTCCTCATCAGTGCTGCCTATCAGTGACATATATGAGTACTGCCTTTCAGTGCCCATTAGTGATGCCTATCAGTGCCACCTATCAGTACTCATACATGTCACTGATAGGCAGCACAGATAGGTGGAACTGATGGGCACTGATGAGGAGGCACTGGTAGGTGGCATTGACAGGCATCACTGATGGGCACTGAAAGGCAGTACTCATATATGTCACTGATAGGCAGCACTGTCTTTCAGTGCACATCAGTAATGCCTGTCAATGCCACCTAGGAGTGCCTCCTCATCAGTGCCCATCAGTGCTGCCTATCAGTGCAGCCTATCAGTGGCCATCAGTGCAGCCTCATTAGCGCACATCAGTGAAGGAGAAAAATCACTTATTTACAAAATTTTATAACAGAAACTAAGAAAAAACTTTTTTTTTTCTAAATTTTCAGTTGTTTTTGGTTTGTTTAGCAAAAAATAAAAAATCCAGAGGTGATTAAATACCACCAAAAGAAAGCTCTATCGGTCTCAAAAAAATTATAACATTTTCACATGGGTACAGTGTTGCATGACCGCGCAATTGTCATTCAATGTGCGACAGCGTTGAAAGCTGAAAACTGGCCTGGGCAGGAAGGGAGTACAAGTGTCCTGCAGGCAAGGGGTTAAAGGCAGCTTTTCCTTATTTATGGGATTGAATTGGAAGGTGGCGCCCTGACATTTTTGTTTGTATTTTATTAAAAGTTACATTTCCCTTTCAATCTGCAACGCTGTCATTTTCTGTAAAACACAATGCAATATGGCAGCCTGAAGGCCTTCTGTACAAAGTGTACGGAACGCCCCCAGAAATGTCAATTCCTGTTCGTACGATAGGCTCACGGATTTTCCCAGTATGCAATAAGTCAGATTTTGAGCATCTCCTGCAACAAAAATGTCATTTTGGTGAGATACTCCCAAAGGGAAATCGTGCCTAAAGGGATGCAGACCCTGCCACTTTCCTCAGTAGAACCCTGCAGCAGCTGATTGAGAATTATAAAACCACTCCCATTCACATTCATTATGCACATGGTCACAGAAAAAACAGCTATTTCTTCAGATTAACAAAAGGTAGAACTCTGCTACAATGTTTGTTAAAATGCTCACCTAGAGAAGAATGTTTTTTTTTTCTTAACGAAAGTGGAGTTACTCTTTAAACAAACAATAAGCGGGGACAGATTTCATTTAAATATAGTCTAATTTCCACCAGTTGGAGAAGCTGTCAGAGGCATAAGATCTGATATTTACCATATAATGTGGGGACCTTGGTTATTAAAAACCTTTGCAGTGCTTCTTAAAGAAGTGTTGATGTTGTCTAAGAACAGAATGTGTAATGAGCACTTTGCCCCACGGTTCCCGATTGTATTTCAGCAGCAGTAGTAAGGATACAGAAGATTAAAGTGCTGGAGGGTGCTGGTTTCTTCCATGTCCGGAAGCTCCTCCACGCTCTGCACTGAAGGACTGGTGTCCCTCTGAGAAGACTCAGGATGTGAAGATGATGACTGATATCCGGACCTGTAGGCATCTCTCGCCTCTCTATCATCTTCTCTTTCCATAGCAAGGTCCTCAGACTCATCAGGTTCACTGCCACTTAATGACACCTCAGCGGGCAGTTCTGTTACTCCATGAGTAAGTTCCTCACTCCTCAGTCTGTCCTCCTCTTCATTGTCTGAGAGGTCTGGTGAACTCTGGCCCATTGAATTGATGCTTTCCGATTCTTCCAATGCATCTGGATTTTGTGTGTCTGAACCACTGCCTCCATTAATTTCAGGGAATTCATCTGCCATGTGAGAGTCGCATGATCTGGCGGTATTTGGATTACTGTCCTGATCATCGTGGAGAACCGAAGAAATCAGACCGAGCTGTTCTAGGAGATTTCCATTGGCTGAAAAGCCTTCCATAGCCACCTGCTCTGTCTGTGGATCATCTTCTGCTTCGACACCATACTAGACCACGGGCTTGTTCTGTCTGTCAGAGTGGTGAATTCATTCAGAGTCCTTGGCTCAATGACATTTTCCTCATACTCCTCCTCACTGTCCTGCTGAATGTCATCCTCTGGCTCTTCCTCTTCATGATCCTCAACAAAGCTGCCCTGTTTCTCAGTGTAGCTTAAGAAGTCTTCTATGTTGTTCTCCTTACGTTTGGGAGATCCAGCTTCAGAGAACGGCCGTGTATCCACACGGTGAAATTCAGTCTCATTGTCTGATAATTCCTTGTGGATGATTGGCCACAAATTCTCTGATGGACGTATGCCAATGACTTCAGACCCGGATACACTTGGATGCCGATGACTGCTGCCAACATCTACTGTGCTGGGAGGAACTTCTCGAAGGATAGTCTTTTCCTGGAGGCCTAAAAGAGAAGAAAAAAATCAACAAAACATAAGTACACTACCTGCATAAAAAGAGAATATATTTTTTATTCATCAATAAATCCAAGTTCATTGGAAGATATGGAATTCCGGTGGTATAAAGAAACACTCTACCAGGGACGGACTGACAACTCATGGGGCCCCGGGCAATAGGGGATCATGGGGCCCCTGTGTCCTTGCCCAAACTCAAAAAAGCCTATGAAAAAGGTACCAGGGGCATCTCATGGGGCCCCTACCAGGGGCGGACTGACAACTCATGGGGCCCCCGGGCAATAGGGGATCATGGGGCCCCTGTGTCCTTGCCCAAACTCAAAAAAGCCTATGAAAAAGGTACCAGGGGCATCTCATGGGGCCCCCTACTGACCCCGTGCCCTCAGGCAGTGCCCGAGTTTCCAAATGGTCAGTCCAGCCCTGCACTCTACCCATTCAAGGACTGTAAAGAAAGTCTGAGAGGCCAAACCGCCAAACACCAACACAGTCACACAGGAGGAAGGGAAGAGAGACAAATATGCCTCTATGCTTAGCAATGCCAGTTCATTTTTTCTTTCCTCTTGCAGCTGAACAGAGTGGTGGGGGAGGCATGGCCAAGGCAGAAGCTCACATTCAAACATTTGTATAATACTGCACCTTTTTTTAAAGTTCCTTTATTTGTGTTTCATATGCATATTATGGGGTCATTATACCCATGTCGTTAAAAACTGTCAGTACATGCTGTATTGTATGCTGATAATACTCACTCAGTCACTATGGGATTCATTTTCTGTGTTCTGCAAAAAACCTGGCTGATTCTGTTGTTCACTGTCACTCCCTCCTTGTGTGTCCCTGCTGTTGCTGGAGATTCAGCAGTACAGCTGTTGTCATCTACTGAGCATGCTCCAGTTGCAGCTCCCTTCTAAGTTGTTCATTTCCTCCTCTTTTTTTATCTGTGCAGCCATGTGACTAGAGAGTCACATGTGCATGCAAACACTTTGGATAAATGACAGCCCACTCCCTCCCCAATAAACAGCTCAACAATCTGGGGGCAGGATATTACATGTTGATTGATGATGGCGTTCCACTCCTTGTAATTCTGAGTACATACTAACAGTAGAAGGGTGGGAAACAACCCGTGTCTGGCAGAACCTCCCCCTAGAATGTCCACACCATGTTTTTGCACATAGATAATGAACATTTGCATTCAAATACATATTGGTAGGACAATTTAGAACATTTCAAAATAATTATGTATTTTTCCTCTGTATTCTGAAGGCTGTTATTTTTTTCTAACATGTGATCAACAGGAAAGGACTAGACCACTCCTCCCGATAATGCTTCTCTGTAGATGTGCTGGGAAAGAGCTTGGTCGGATGACAGCTGTATATGGATTATGAAAGGTTTTTTTTTTTTTTTAATTAAAATAAGTGACGCCATCATCCATATACATGAAAAGAAGGGATATTGTAAATTAAAGTGGTTGTAAAGGATTTTTTTTTTAAATAACAAACATATCTATACTTACCTGCCCTGAATTGAACTGCACAGAGCACCCCGAACCTCCTATTCTGACACTCCTGGCTCCGCCCCTCCACCAGGTACCCCCAATGGGAAACAGCTTCCCATTGGGGCAGTCACAGAGGCTCGCTCCTGAGCCCTGCTGCTGCGTCCATTGACACAGACAGCGGGACACTTCCCCGCCCCCCACTCCCTCATCACTGGTTTTGATTGACAGCAGTGGGAGCCAATGGCTCCCGCTGCCTCAACAAAGCCTGTGAGACCCGGAAGTGAGGGGAAATTAGAATTGCAGATGTGCACAGCATTAGATCGATTGAGAGCTCAGGTAAGTAAAAAGGGGAATGGGGAGGTCAGGGGCCAATACCGATACCTAAACATTTTTTACCATAATGTGGACAGCACAGTGGCTAAATGGTTAGCACTTCCACCTGGCAGTACTAGGGTTGTTGGTTCGAATCCCAGCCACGGCACCACCTGCCTGGAGTTTGCATGTTCTCCCTGTGCCTGCGTGGGTTTCCTCAGGGTACTCCGGTTTCCTCCCACACTCCAAAGACATGCTGGTAGGCAAATTGGCTCCTGTCTAATTTGGCCCTAGTATGTGTATGTATGAATGTGAGTTAGGGACCTTAGATTGTACACCCCTTGAGGGTTAGGGTCTGATGTAAATATACAATATATATATATGTAAAGCGCTGTGTAAATTGATGGCGCTATATAAGTACCTGAAATAAATAAATAAAATAATGCAGGGAACTACTTTAACCAGTTGGCAACACTGTTGCACTGTGTGCAGAATTATGTATATATAGACGCGATTCTGCTTCTGCTGTGCATCCCTTAGTAAAAACACACAACATACTACACAGAAAAACAGTGGCTAGGCACACAGATCACCCTTTGGTCGCCCTAGATGTTTAACCCCTTCCCAGCCAGTGTCGTTAGCATAGTAACAGTGTGCATTTTTAGCACTAATCACTGTATTAGTGTCACTGGTTCCCACAGTGTCAGTTAATGTCAGACTGTCCGCCGCAATATCGCAGTCCCGTTGATCGCCTCCATTACTAGTATAAAAATATATATATATATATATAATAATTCCAGTATATACACCATAGTTTGCACAAACCAATCAATATACCCCGATTTGCAGCAGAATACATATTGGCCTAAATTTATGAATATTAAATTTATTACATTTTCTATTTGATATGTTTTATAGCAGAAAGTAAAAAATATAGTTTTTTTTCCCCCAAAATGATTGTTTGTCTTTTTGCAGTGGTGATTAAATACCACCAAAAGAAAGCTCTATTTGTAGGGGGAAAAAAATGACATAACTTTCATTTATGTACAGCGTTGAATGACCGCACAATTGCCAAAGTAACGCAGTGCCGTATTGCAAAAAAATGGCCTAGTCAGGAAGAGCGGTAAATTTTCCAGAGGTCAGGCGGTCATACAGCGTGTGTTTAGTATCACTAGGTGTGGTTGTGGTTGAGTCTCATGGTTAGTCTGGAGTGGTTGTTATTTTATAAAATTTGTTGAATTTTGGTTCTCACCAGTGATGAGGCTGCTGACTTGTGAGACCAACAGACTGGATTTCTTCAGCAATAACTGAGCAGCCGTGTCCTCATCAGAATTGGTGGAGATGGGAGGCCTCTTCTCTGCACTATGTTCTGTGGCTCCTCCACGTGGCGCGGTGCTCGAGAGGCTCCTGTACAGCTTCTGGTTTAAAATACTTCTGGATATCATCCAGCTCATTAAGGTTTTTCCTAAAAAAAAGAAAAAAAAGTAAAAGAAACTCATTAAAGTATGTAAAATACCAGTGAGGAAAAGCCTTTGCAATGGAACACAGTCAGGACAGACATCACAACATTTCCCATGTGTTCATTGCAAGACATTTCCCTGCATTATGGCCACAAACATCAATGCTGAACATTTTTTACCTTCATGCATTCTATGCATGAAGGTAAAAAAAAAAAAAAAAAAAATCTGTGTGCAGCCTCCGTTCCCAGCCCCCCTAATATTCACCTAACCACTGGCTCTCGCTGATGTCAATCACAGCCAGTGAGCCAATGAGAAGAGAGGGGGCGGGCCGAGCCACAGCTCCATGTATGAATGGACACACAGAGCAGCAGCTCAGTAGCGGGCCCCAGACAGGGGAAAGGGGCCAGGAGCACTGGTGGGGGACCCGAGAAGTGGAGGATCTGGGCTGCTCTTTACTGCACACAGCAGGTAAGTATGACATGTTTATTATTTAAAAAAAAAAAAAAAAAAACTGCCTTTAGTATCACTTTAAAGCTGAACTCTGGGATGATCAAATATGGTTTAAATACAAGAGCCATGTATATCCTTGCTTTAAATTTGTGTATTTTTTCCAGATCTGTGCAGAAACCAATGTAAAAATTCCCTCTGTGCAGGAGCTTCCTGTAATAAAGACCGGTCACTGCTGCTCTCTCTCCATGTACAGGGTGACTGGTCTGGTCTCCGCCCATCCTGTAGTTTTCTGCAGGCAGTATGTAGTGGGTGGGACTTGCTGGGCCCCTCCCACAGCTCTCATCTTTTGTTTGCATCTGGGTTTGCAAAGGCATTTGGTGCACACAAAGCCAATTTCTATCCTTTGGAGCTATGGAGGAGAATATTTAAATTAAAGTTGTTGTGCCCAGAGTTTAGCTTTATGAGAAACGTAGAATCCTAAGCTACACAGGTAAAGGAAGGAAGTTTATTTGAGAAACGTAGAATCCGTAGCTGCACAGGTAAAGGAAGGAAGTTTATTTGAGAAACGTAGAGTCCGTAAACGTAAAGGGAAGGAAGTTTATTTGAGAAACGTAGAATCCGTAGCTGCACAGGTAAAGGAAGGAAGTTTATTTGAGAAACGTAGAATCCGTAGCTACACAGGTAAAGGAAGGAAGTTTGAGAAACCTAGAATCCGTAGCTACACAGGTAAAGGAAGGAAGTTTATTTGAGAAACGTAGAATCCGTAGCTACACAGGTAAATGAAGAAGTTGAGAAACGTAGAATCCGTATCTACAAAGGTAAATGAAGGAAGTTTATTTGAGAAACGTAGAATCCGTAGCTGCACAGGTAAAGGAAGGAAGTTTGAGAAACGTAGAATCCGTAGCTACACAGGTAAAGGAAGGAAGTTTATTTGAGAAATGTAGAATCCGTAGCTGCACAGGTAAAGGAAGGAAGTTTATTTGAGAAATGTAGAATCCGTAGCTACACAGGTAAATGAAGGAAGTTTGAGAAACGTAGAATCCGTAGCTACACAGGTAAAGAAAGGAAGTTTATTTGAGAAAACGTAGAATCCGTAGCTACACAGGTAAAGGAAGGAAGTTTAAGAAACATAGAATCCGTAT